CCTTTCACTCTCTCTCTCTCTCTGTTTCTCTTTCTCAGCGCATCCTGCCTCCTCGTTCCCGTCGCTGGCAGTTCTCGCGGATTTCCAACGGAAATGCGCGCGACAATGGGGTGACAATTCCCCGCCGCCTGGAAAGACACGCGGTCCCTCCTTCGCGCATCGCTTTCACTCGGCCCTTCCTCCCGGGCTCCTCCGACGCGAGAAACTTCCACGGGACTTTTCCGCGCCTCGAACTATTGTTCCTTGAATCGAGTTTCGTGTACCGCGGAACTTTTCCGCGTGGACGACGCATTCGCCCCGCCTGATGCAGAATGTTCAACGTGCGTCGAATTGGTTTCCCTTGCGCGACATGCATAGTCTAAGAACAATTCCCGGGGGACTGACGGGAGCAATCGTGACGTGGGTCGCTGGAAAGCGAATGGAAGCTCGTTGTCGAAGTTTTTCACCTGTTTGCGATCGCAGTTCTGAAATTTTGTAAATTGAACAAATTCACTATTGAGTATTGCAGTCTTTGACCGCTGGCGAATTATGAATTGCGATGAAACATAATCGAAAACATAGTACCCTTAAACGTAGTACAGTTTGTTCTATTGTTCCTGGGGAAGTTGATATTCGTTCGTTTAGATTTTGGAAACTGTAGACCTAAAAATAGACAATCAGGATTCATATTCGTGTAATTGGATCAACGAAAACCGACTGAAACATTTACCAAATAATGTTTATAAAATTCAATCTGCGTCAAATCGACGCGTTCCGTAAACCTACTGTTAATTTCAATGATCAACCCTTAGCACTGCAGTCATTTTTATAAAAATGTCTGACAGAGCGACTCTAGCGTTTAGAGGCTGACACGGGTCAATAGGTCGTAGTAGCATAAGGACGTAGTTTAAGGATACTTGTTGACGTTGAACCAATAATAATTGCGATTGTTATTCCCGTGTGTTGCAGAAAGCCAGATTAGCGCGCATCAGGATTGCCAAAGCGTCGAGTGGAGCGGCGTTCGTCAGCAAAAAGAAGGCGGCCGAAGCCCGCCTGGCCGCGCAGGAGAGCGGCCTCCAGCTGGACGACTCTTACAAGGAGGAGGATATTTTCGAATTGCAGCATCATCATCTGCTTCGTTGTTTAGAGAAGACCACGGTGAGTACTCGATCGAAATTCCTTCCCCGACAGGAAGCACACCAAGCGAACCCCCTAAGAAAGCTTCTCTCCACAGAGCTATCGATTTATTCCTCCAACCTTACTTCCCCAAAACAGCCATCAATTTCCACTTCTCTTACCTCTCACCCAATCCTATTCATCACGCTCGACATTGTCTTAACACTAGAACCGTCGAACAGTTGAATAGACTTCTCAAATTTTCGTTTCAATCAACTTCAAGAGTACATACATAGTGTTACTATATTAAAGTTTAATTTAAATTACTAAATATTTAACTTCACAGTTTTGCTGTATCAAATCAAATGGTGAGAGTCACCTTTCGAGTGCAAAGGGTTAAAATTCGGTTTTCTGAAAATTAACCGGTACGCAATGCGTTAAAATGATAAAAATATAAAATTTCATTCGAATTGATTATCTGTTTAAAGTATATTACATAACAATATGATATCTGAGTTTTTCTATTGATATTAGTTGACCTCAGTGAAAATTGCCATCACTATTCAGTTTTCTGAAAACTAATCGGTACGCAATGTGTTAAAATGATAAAAATATAACATTTCATTCGAATTGATTATCTATTTAAAATATATTACATAACAATATGATATCTGAGTTTATCTATGTATAGCGATATACATTGACCTTACTGAAAATGCCATCACAATTCAGTTTTCTGAAAATTAGCCGGTACGCAATGCGTTAAGAGAATTTTCCGCAGAAAGTAGGTAATTGTATATTATATTACAGTGTTACTATATTATAGATAATGAAAGAGTGGATCTTGAGTAATCGAGCCTGTCCACTCACACTCGTTCATACATTCACTCTTAAAAATACCTTAACCTCCGCTAAAAATTCTAAATACATATATCGAGCAATCAATGGATTCACACTATAATTTATCAATCACTAATTCACCCCACTGACCTCCGAAACATATATGTATATCCCTGGAATAATTCTACAAGACCAATTCAGGAACAAACAATTTCAAATCTCCCCGTGGTTCCAGTACGAATCAACATCAATTCTAGCATCGCCAACAATCACAGATCCAAAAGCACACGGACAAGGTGGCTGATCAAGCCCCGCTGTAGCATAATTTCCCGATCGATTCCTCGGCGCACCGAGATTCAAAAGCGGGACCGGCCGAACGTAGAAGTGTCCCCGTTTCGCCGACGAAATCCTCCTTTGTGGACGAAGAGGCGCACGGTTCATTAAGCGGCGCGCGAGCCTCGTTTAATTTCGCGGCGTCACTCTGGGAAACGTC